GCCTCCCATGGCTCACGGCCGCTTGCGACTTGGTGTGGCCACGCTTGACGGTCTCATTTATGCGGTGGGCGGATTTGATGGCTTATGGACGCTGAAAGATGTTGAACGGTAGACATTGATTCTACGACTGTTGCTTTCCCACATTGGAATGTTCACTGTTGCAGATATGATCCTCGCCGAAATCAGTGGACCAGTGTAGCATCTATGGGTGAAGAACGATACGGACATTCTGTCTCTGTGCTCAACGGCTGTTTATACGCCGTTGGAGGTTGGATTAAATCATCTGTGGAGAGGTTAGTCAACGTGAAGCAGGGTCAACCATCCGTTGTGCGAAGTTCAATGTGGGGATGGCCGTTTTTGGCCAACGGAAGGGAGTCGTAAGTGGAGGAGACCAGCGAAGTATTTGAAAGTCTCGCGGCATGGTAATGGAGGAGAGACATTCGAACGCCGCTGCAACTTATAACTATGGACGAGTGCATGGCGCGTCTGAGAGCATATTTCAGTAAGCACAAGCAAGCAGACTCCTTCAGTGAAAACGCTTGCATTTGATTGAGCCAAAGCGAAGGAGAGGTAATTTCGCCGGGTTGATCTTCAGTAGAAAATTCCAGCAAAGATCAAGTAGAAATCAATATTTGTTGTGGAGCATTGGTCGTGTACATAGTTCCTTTTTTCTCATAAACAATGGTTGAGAAGCTCATGAGTGCTTGAAGGATCTGAAACTCTCGTTTTCGGTACACGGCTTTAAAAAAGTCAAAGGAAAAAAAACTGCGGGACTGCTTTTTGAACAAGTAATCCTTCACAGTAGCTTTCTTCAGCATTTTTCAGAAGATTTAGTCTCGTTGTACTTTTCAACCTTAGAAATTTATATGAAAAATGATCCGACGGGAGTTACCACCTTAGAGGGTTGGAAACCCGCGTGCTCACAAGAAAAAGCAGAAGAAGGCAATATTTCGAGCAATTAAACACTCACGGAAGTTTCCATAATTTATAGTCAGAAAATGATTTGTTTTCTAAAACCTTGTACAACTCCTCATAAAACCGCATTTCAAGGACGAGTTGATCATTCAAGAAAGGAAATGCCTGGTCGCTCAGAAATTTGTTTTTCACCTCATAGAAAAGGTAGTTGCCAAAGAAAGGGGAAAATTTGGTTGCTCCTGAAAGCAGAAAATCTTTCAGAAATTCATGAATGCTGCGCAATATTTTCGTAAGGAAATGGTGCTTCCGAAAATAGAAAACTCTCGCCGCATTTTTTCCTTGCTTCTCTGGGAAAGGAGCAACGCGCTACGTTACAGAACGCGCGACGTGGACGCATGGATAGTATAGGAAAACCCATTTTATCGATTTCAAATGCATGAATACACTGGAATGCATGAATAGCTGAGATAGGGGGGGAGGGGTGAGGGTTGTATCGAGAAAATGATAGGAGTGGGCTTGTGGAAATTTTCAAATCAGCACAACGGACGGGTGACTCTGTTTAGGATGCGATAAGTGCATTATTACCGAGGTTGATATGAAATCCCGATAGTTGGAATCAATGCCTTGGAAATGCATCAGCTTGAGTTTACTCTGCATTCAGTAAGCGCCTTACTTGCCTGATGCCATCGATTCAAAAAAATGCGAATTAAGAATGTAACATTCCATATTTTAGATTCGACCCACGAGTGGGAAAGTGGGAGCACATTCGTCCAATGACAACAAGGCGAGCTTTTTGGGGTCTGCAGCGTTCGATGGGCACTTGTATGCAGCAGGAGGAGATGATGGAATGGAATATTTAAGTTCAGTTGAAAAATACGACCCCCGTACCAACGAGTGGACCGCAGTGGCTGACATGAACGAGGAACGATGGGGTGTGAGTCCGCTCATTTTATTCCTACTCTCTCATGTTCAAAAGATTTCTGAAAAACTAGGTAAAAAAAGAAATTGGTTTATAGGTAGCGCTGGCCGTTGTCAACGGAAGGCTATACGCGGTTGGTGGAGATAATGGTTCTACCGACCTGGACACCGTTGAAGTTTTTGATCCCGAGGCAAATCAGTGGATAATTCATAGCCGCATGAATGAGCGGTTAGTTGCCTTTTGTGGTGGAATTTTTCCGCATTTTTATTCAAACTGGAACTCTTCTGAGTTTCCATTAACAATCGTGACATTTCTAGAAGACGTATGGTGGTGTGGGTGTTCTTCGGATGCCGTAGCAGTTCCAACAGCGGCAGTGGGAGGCAGTGCAGTGCTGCGATGCAGGAGATGAACGTGTTTCTCCCGCCTTTCACTCCGTGTTATTCTTGGATAACGATTACCGGTGCAAACTTAGTTGGGTGGGACAGCTTGATCTCACGGGTTATGAATTGAGGTAACGCTCAGTTTAGGACTAGGACGTAGGATGAAAAGGCTACGCTGTGCCGAAGCAGTTTTCATTCGACCCAGTGTTACCTCCCCCCCTTTAGAGATAGTGTTTGCCATGACCCGTGAAATCAAGGTGTCCCACCTAACTGCCT